TCATAATGGGCATTTACATCAATGAATCAACATGCTCTACTATTGTTGCTATTTGTACTCATAATATCTGCTTCTAAGTTGATGTCTGAGCATGGATCCAAAAAATTAAAAATTCTCGTAGTTCATGTATTTGAACTTTTGTCCTCAATGTCCTCGACAGTTACCGGTACTGTCAACCTGTGTAAGTAGGAAAGCATTCAACGTGACAATAATTTGGTCAATACAGGACAATCGTACTATGAATACACTATTGTTCTCGCATTGTTTGATGCCATGTCAAATGTTTGTATCACTGCTCTGTCACAGAACACCTATTATGCAGAGCTTTCAGCTCAATTCAAACAAAAGGTAAAACATGGTCATGTTTTTATAAACAGCACAAGTTTTTTTTTTAACATGTATATATTTTTCCCATACATAATAAAATGTATAATTATCTTTTTATTTCACCCTCTCGCTCCTCTTCCTCTTCTCATCCCTCTTCTCATCCCTCTTCTCATCCCTCTTCTCATCCCTCTCTTTTCCGTTCTTGGGTTTTGAACAAAAACACCAGAAATTATAAAAAATTCATTTGATTCCAACTGCAAGATATATAAATTTAGTGAATAGGTACAACATGATCTAGTCGAATTAAACTCTCTTTTCAGATCACTATCTTTTTTAAAATGCCTTGTTTGATAATAAATTCATTCTTTCAAATTTCACTGGCAAGAGCTTACAGGTTCCATATATATGCCAATTATGTGAAAAAAGATCAAGCATTTTTTTTTTTCATTCTGAAACAAAAAAAAGTCTGATCTCTCTTCAGTGTTTCCATTGAACTGGTAAATCTGATCAGTAAAACATGTTGCGATATAATTGTGAAGGGAGAGATGTCAAAGAATCTTGTGTTGATGAAATAAAGAATATAAATTTGCTATCATACAGCTTTTTGTAGTTGAATATTATGACAATGGATTTGTAAATCTGGAGAGGATAAGATTAATAAATTATATTAGAAGCAGCACCTGATGTATTATCTTTCATTCATTGTGATTTTCTATGCCAATAATAATGAAATAGATAAGTCAACCATGAAAATCTAACTTTATTTTTATTTAGCGGAATAAGCCAGAATGAAATTCAACAACAGATGATGAGGATATCGAGTGGAGATAGATGATTCAGGTCATTTATTAGATTGTATTCTCTTCAAGAGAGAAGGTTTATTATTTATTATAATAAAGTCTGGTATTCTCCATAACCATTGTTGAGTTTATATTCAAATTTCCAAAATTTATCATTTGGTAACATTCCTTTTGAATTTTGCTCCACAAAATGTGGATCACCAAACCAGCCTTCATTGGGAAGAAGTTTAAAATTTGACCCAGTTTAAGGTATACCGGTAATGCTGTTACAGAAAAAATAAATTCTCTGTTCCTGTGGCTTTTGAGTCCGGTTAGCTGCATTTCTAGATCTGAAACTTAACTAACACAATCAAAATGTCAAGATTAGATTGAGACAAATTTGTTATTGAGACAGCAGATAATTCATGAAATCCTTTCTCCTTAAATCACAATTATTAAACTACATTTTTCCCAGCCATTATAATGACAGGCAAACATTTCTGTTTATGAGTGCTAGAGGGCGCTGTCATTGAAAACTTAAATCATGTGTAGGTAATAATGAAATTTTAATAAACACGTCTCTATGTACCATATGTCAGGTGAAGCATGCATCGACATATAATGAAAATAATGAATTTATTGCATCCTTAGAAATACAGCAATGAAATGTTAGGAATAAAATGCTATACTAGTACATAGGTACATGTACTATAATACTGTTTGTCAGATGTATACTTGTGTATGAATTAAAAATAGTCCTATATATAAAACATATATATTATGTCCTCCCCATTTGCAACTCGTATCCTCCGCAATGTGTATCATTCTCTCCCAACCTTCCTTTTCTTGCCTCCTCTCCAATAAGCATATATCATAATTACATTACTCTAATATATTTAATTCAAATTAATATTCCAATATGCCATGCTATCGTTATGGTAACAATCCTACTTTAGTCCCCAACAGATGTAGTCTGTAACAGGGATTTATGTATATACAGTGTGCATATATATATATTACCGATTTACCCTCTGAACGTTAACCCTCTAAATTTGTTTTTGACTCCCGTGTGCGAAGCACAAAAAGGGAGTCTTTGCAGTTAGTGTGTGTGTGTGTCTGTGTGTGTGTCTGTTCCACTGTTCTCAAGAACCATACATTGATTTTTGATGAAACTTGGTGCATAGATGCTCTGGGCTAATGCGCAGATTTGACTAGATTTTGGTAAAAATCCATGCATATTAATTACCTAATTTGCATGATTATTAGCTGATTTTCTGCTGTTCCATGACTTGGCACATAGATGCTATGAACTAATGCACAGATTTGATTAGTTTTAGGTAAAAATCTGTGCAATATTAATTACCTAATTTGCATAATGATTAATCAATTTTTGGCTTTTCCACTGATATCTCAAGTACTAATCACCACACTTCAATAAAACTTGGTACATAGGTATCATAGGACACTGCACAGACCTGATTGTTTTTAGGGTAATATCAGTACATATTTACTACCTAATTTGCATAATTTAATTAATTTTCAGCTTTTGATATTTCAAGTTGTAATCATCACATTTCAATGAAACTTGGTACATAGTTACTTAAAGACAGTGCAGAGACCTGATTTTTTGGGGGGGGGGGGGGGTAAATATTTGTGCATATTAATCACCTTATTAGCATAATTAGTTAATTTTCAGCTTTTCGCCTGATAACTCAAGTACTGATCATCATATTTCAATGAGACTTGCTACATAGATCCTCTAGGACTATGCAGAGACCTGATTAGTTTTAGGGTAAATAATTGTGGATATTAATTACCTAATTCGCATAATTAGTTAATTTTTTCCATGAATGTTCCACTGATATATATATAAAGAACCACTAATTGGATTTTATTGGAACTTTTATAGAGTATTCATCATCACATTTCAATGAACCTAGGACTATGCACAATCTGATTTAAAAAAACAAAACAAAAAAAAACTAGGATCTTATTTAAATCAGATTGGGACTATGCAGAGACCCAATTAGTTTTTGGTAAATATTAATCACCTAATTAAAATAAATATAAATAACACTGATATCTCAATTACTTATCATCACATTTGAATAAAATTTGGTACATAAATGCTCTAGAACAATAGACAGGCCCGATTAATTTTGGGTTGAAATATGTTCATATTAATTCTCTAATAATAATTCATAGTTTTTTTGTTCTAATCACATTTCAATGAAACTTGGTACATAGATATTACATTATGCATGTCTTATTAGTTTTACACTCAAATCTGTTAGCTGATTTACATAACTACTTTTCAGCTATTTCATCAATATCTCAAGTACAAGTAATTTTGAATTAATTTTTAATGTGTCTTCAATACTCTCAGCACTCAGGAGTTCTTTCTAAGCTTTCTTCGATTTAATTTGATAACATCCAAAAAAACATTTCAGTATGCTTGGCCTGATTTCACACAATCTTGGTATTGACTCCACTCATGGTGGGTAACTGATGCACGTCATTTGGTGTCGTGATTTGATTCCAAATTGTCAATTGGTGGTCATTTTTTATTTGCCCCATGAGTTCTACTTGTTTTACACTTTCACCAATTTTCACCAATTTCTACTTGTTCTACACTTTCACCAATTTTGTTCAAAGTTGATACAAATTCAGGACACAATACTATACAGGGATTTATTTTTCATTTGTTGAACTTTGACCAATTGGTGAACATTTTTGTAAAACAAAAATTAAATCACATCAACCATTTCTCAATCATGTCAATTTTATCTTGATACTAGTACTTAGGTTATCGATGTACTAGTCTGACATGTAGGCGTGAGTGGCATCCTCGCTGGCCAAACGGCATCAGACCTCACTAATGCCTGACAGAATAG